TTTCTAATTCTGTTAACATCCTCACTATTATCATTGATGTTATTTTTATTAAAATTGTTGTTACTAGCATTTTTTAGCAACATTCTAATTTCATTTATCGTCATTAATATTTTAATGTGAATGTTTCTTTTCAAAAATTATCCGAATTGATTAGCATAATTATTTAGTTAGTCATTAATAAATATCAGCTTGATTGGATTCCTTTGAAATCTTTGTTTTTAATATTGTGAGGGATAGAAGTTTAAAGTAAAGAAGAAAGGCAAGTAAATAAAAAACGAAAATGAGATTGTTTATACATCAGAAAATTGAAATATGTGTTGACAATGTAATATATTATTTCATTTTAATCATATAAAATATTTCATTAACATTTGTTACAAATTAATGACAATTAAACAATATATGGGCGAATTTTTTCTTTCTATATTTCTCAAAACAATTCGTGGCTGCACGTTAGCGTAGAAAAAGGATATTAAAAAAACAAAAATTATATTGAAATTTTTTCTAATTCATGATTATTTTCCAGTTCATGATTGATGATTAGATGTTCAATGATCGGATAATCATTGATGAAGAGATTTAGCCAATTGTTTGCGAATAGCAACATCTAAATTAAATGAGTCTTTTTTTTCTTTTTCGTTTTAAATTCATCCTTTCTTTCTCCTTCTTATCATCATTTTATATTGTATACACATATTGATTAATTGATATTTAATTTATTTATACTAACAGAATAATATCGAATATTTTATAATTAATTACATTACTCGAGGTATACACTGCACAAAAGTTACTCATTTCACATGAAAGTATAAAGGAAAATTTGGGAAATAGCGTAATAGTTGGCATAATTATAATATCCTCCCAACAAAGATTGATATATTATTATCTTTATGATTTAGGATATCACACCTTTGCGTTCTACGTTTATCATTTCGACCTTTACTCTATTTTCTATTCCAACAGTATTTCATTCTTTCTATACTTCATTCATATAATATTTCATTCTTACAATATTTCCACCAATACATTTTTTGTTGGATCAATTGTATTTATTGATTGTTTTATTACTACCACAAGTGTTATTAGAATTACAACTTCTACTACTTTCCTGCATTCATCTGTTGAATTTACTCATTCATCTGTGCTGCTGGAAACTTTTTTTTGAGTAACCTTTTTCAATGGGTGTTTGGATTTTGAACATCCCACAGGAAATGGATAATCACATGAGAAGGTAAGCTATTGCTTCACAGCACACTTCGCTTGGTTTATCTTACCACAAAAATTTAAATGTATTTATACAAAACTTATGCATTACTGTAAAACTATTTATCTATCAATGATTGAATTTAAAAAAAAAAAGAGTATTTTCAGTAAAGTCCAGGAAAGATTACGATTCTGTTGCATTAATTTTTAAAATTTTCATAGGTCATTCAATTCAAGCTAATTGCAATCGACAATTTTAATTCGATAATATTTTTTATTATCTCATGATGTAAATTAATCTCACATTTTAGCAAATTATCAAGTATGCTGAAATAAGAAATATATTTTGATTGAGCAAATTATAATTAGAGAAAAAGACAGCTAAATGAACAAATTCTTAAATTTTGCAAAATTCTTTCGAATTTTAATGCTACATTTAAATTACGAAATAGTGAATTTTGATTTAAACATTTTTACTGATTTTAGAAGAAATCGATCGGTATTGCATCCAACTGAATTCATAATCTGAATTAATTGTACATTTTATCAATTAACACTATTTATCTTTTCATTTTTTTCTTTTCAGAGAAAAAAAAGAAGCTATCAACTTTTTAAAAGAAAAAAATTTGACAAGTTTTAGAAAAAAAATTTTATCGGAAAAGAAAACAAGAAGTCTAATGGGAATTTTCCGATTTGATAAAGTTCTCTTAGCCAAGCATTTTTAACATTGAGAAGAAAACATTCAAATTCAACAAAACTTCTTTTTGAATGTTTTTCATTCTTAGCCATAAATCAGTTTTCGTTTGTTTTTTCTTTTTAATTTTCTAATAATAACACCTTTAAATAGAAATAATTTGATGAGTAAACTAATATGAATTCCACGAAATACTGTAAGGTAAGTAAAAAAATGCTGTCCATAGGTTAAAGTTTTAGATAAAATGAAGTAATGAAATAGCAAGTTAAGCACTGATATGATAAAAAAAGAAATGAGTGAAAGGAAAAAACAGCAATTAGCGATTAATGCAAGACAGAACAAAACAGATAACAGCTGTCGTTAATAAATAAGTTAAAAATAAAACGATCGATTCGAAAGAAAAAAATTGATAATTAAATTGAGGATAGAGTTATTGACGAAGATAATATAGGCCAAAGAAATAAATACGAACAAGAAAAAATTGATAAATTAAGGCGGAGTTACTGACGAAGATAAGACGATTGAGCTTATCATATTTGCAATAGTTAGTCAATTAGCGATTTGTCGCCGCTTTTATATTATTTAACTAAAAAATTTAAGTAAGAAAAAATCCAGCTGAATTTGAAACTTAATTCGATTGAATTGTTAATACCCAATATTCTAAGTGACAGAATTCGTCCATAGTGAATTAAACTTAGGATCAAATGATAAGAAACCAAATATTGTTTAAAATGAGTTGACAATAAAAATGTGTAAACAAAATAAATAAATAAATAAATAAGTGATATATCCGATATATCTATCCAAAATCATTGCATAATTTGTTAATAAATGTGAAATTTGGTTAAAAGATATGATTTAATGATATTTCAATTCTTATTATTTAATTATCACAGTTGTATAACTCTTTGCACTTGTTCCTCTTTTTTTTATTTTTTCAGATAATTGCTTAATAAACTTTGAAAGACAAAGAGATATTATTCATCTAAAGATAAAGAGATTTATTGACTAATCATTTTTCATAATTAATTTTTAACACGTTAGTTTAATAATAATTATCTCAAGTGGAAAACAGTAACAGCTATTTATTTGTTCCGCTATTTTTCCAAAAATCTGATAGAATTCTTGCTTTAAATTAAGCCAACGATAATATTTTTAAACAGTAGAATCATGTTTTAAATAAAGTAATTTTTCCTTGCTTTTATTTATTTTTTGGCATAAGTTGAATCATATGAAAAGAACAATAACGATATATTTTAGCCTTTAAATTATAAGTTTTATAATTTCATGAATAAGACGACATAAATTACTGTAAAAATTTGTGAATTTCTTTATGCCATATAAATTTTTATATCATAGTCAGATTCCTTGTTTTAAACTTTAAAATTTTTATATGAATAATTTTTTTTGCTAATTTATTAATTTTTTTCTTTTTTCTTATGCGTCAGCATAATCTTCACAATTTGTAATAATCAAATCTGAAATTGCTTCAAATAGATATCGCCAATTATTTATTAATTTCATTGCAAAATTAATTTTATTTGATTGGAATATTTCAATATCGATAAAAAATCGGAAATTCAGTGCATTATTTTCTTGAAGCTATTGATAAAATCATAAAAGAAGTTTTCTATGCTTCAAAGCAATTATTCTAAACTTTCATAACTTTTTTGTCGTTTACTTTTGCCAATGATTTTTAAATCAGTTTGCGCATTCATTCGTCTTCTCATTTATTCAATAACGCAGGTATGAATTTAAATCTTATCAGATTAAATATTGATTTATTAATTCATCAAGCTAGACAGTCTAACTAATTGATTTTTCCATTTTTGTGATAATGAACATGAGTTTAAATTTTATGAAATCAGGTAATTTGCGGCAATTGGAAAAGGATGAAAAAGAAAGGAAGTCTTTTTCAATAATAAATTCAAAGATGAATAATAAATAATCCGAATATAAAAACTTAAAATGAAAAATGTATAATCAGGATATAAGTGTAAAACAAAAATGCATATTAATTATCATAATGAAAAAATATTACGAAAGTGTCTATCAGTTCGATGGCATTACGAATATATATGTTTATTTACAATATTTAATAGCAATTCTTTGCTTTCAAGTTTAATTTACTTATCTTAACTCTCATCTTTGTCCGTTAAAATCTTTATCTGAAAAAATTTTGCTTTTTCTGTTCCTTTATTGATTTATATATATTTAACATTGTTCTCATTCAGCCATGAACAGTAACTTTTTATAGCCAAACTTCCCAATTCATCTTCATTATTTAGCTGAAATGTTATCCTTTCTGAATTTCTTAAAAATATTTCCTCTACTGTTCCTAATCATTAACGGTTCCAAAATTTTTAATAATAAAAATGCTCCAAGTTAAAATTTATATAAACTTCCAATAATTCCTGTCTTACAATAATTTACACATGAAAATTTTTCTTTTTTTGCTGTTTGCTACAATTAATTTCATATTATCATTCATCTCGTTCAGTTCAATATCACTCATCAGACTAAACATTAAACAGATTTACTCAAAAATTGTGCTAAAATAATTTCAAATATTTTCGTATCATTTGTATATTTAAAAATGCTACTTTAAGTAAAAAATTTTTTCAAAAATGTATGGAATTTGGCACTGAAATTTTTTTTATTGCAAAAAGTAAATGATCAAATACTTAATAAACTTTTTTGAAATGCTCAAATATCTAAAAATTAAGAGGAGAACTAAGTGGAGAAGTGAAATTGAAATAAAAATTTTCGTAGTATTTTTAATGAATTACATAAATTCTTTCTTACTTATCTATCTTAACAGAGATCCATTCATATAGGCAAAAAAAAATTATTCATTCAATTTGGAATATTCATAATTCATGCAAAGTTAGTAGAAAACTTCGTTTTTCATTCGAAATTTATTCCCAACAGTTACTATGGCTATTATGTTAAAAAAAGTTTTTTTAAATTAAACATGGAAAAAATTTAAAGCAAAAAGTAAACTACTAAAGTTAATTTTAAAAGTTTAATATTATTTAAAAAATTCATTACAAAGTTATCTTCAATTTCCTTTTTCAGCGAATCATACAAATTTATTCGCATGGCAGATGACTTACACGATGTGGCACGCTACCTCAACGATATGCGCATATGTTTTATAGCATTAACAGTTATGGGATATATTATATTAATATTGTATGGAATTATTTTTTGTGTTAGGAGGAATCAAAGGCAACGTGGTACTCATAATGCTAATTCGAGGACGAGGGGACGATGGGATTTTCAGGTAAAGGTAACATCTTCCTCATTTAATTTCTTTCTAATGATTACCAAATTTTACGTTACCTTTTAGCATCAAAAATTGATTTCATTATAAATGAATGGTATTTATTGTACCGTGTGATGGTTATATGGTACTTTCATACAGCAATTCTATACAATAATAGCTGAAAATGAATGATAACAATAAGAATTACGATTACTTCATTCATTCATCATTTATCATTTATTTAAATTCATTTATGACATTCGAAAAACGTCGTTTCAATGAGCAATGAGTTTCCCATTCATATAAATAACAAAATATGATGTATGATGTAATATAATGATACGATATACGGACTAAAATTTATTATGTTAGTTAAAATGAAACTTTAATAGAATTGATACTAAAAGCGAAAAATTGTCATAATTTCATAATATTTGGATCGAAAAAAATTTAGTAATAAATAAAATTCTTACTTATAAATTTGCTTTCAAATAATAAAAGACAATTAGTCTGAGTTAAGAAAGAAATTTATGAAAAATTTAACTCTTTGCTATTTCAAAAATATTAATTAGTAAACAAAAAAATAAAAAAATGATGTATTTTTTCATTTTTCAAAAAAATTGTGTTAAAAAATGAAAGACGATGTGAATATTTGGTTAGCGTTATCTCTTCCAATTGAATAATTTCAACTGAAATTTTAGATAGACAATAGAGATCAACAACAGCACAATCAAAATGATGATTTGGTATCTGTCAGAAGTGATGGATTGCAGGGTGTTACTTCAGGCTTCGGTTTAGGTTCTCCATTTTTCTTTCTATTACTTACTTATCTCGAATTTAAGTTAATCGTGTAATTTTTAATATAATTCAGTTTAATTCATTGTTATTATCCGTACAACTAATAAAATATTTTGTGATATCATCAGCTGACTTTCTTATCCTATTTACACAAAGTTTTTCGAAAATTTTTTTTGAATGATTGAAATGGAATATAAAATTTTAAACGCTTAAAAAACGAAATTAAAGATTTTTAATTATTAAAATGAATGAAGAAAGAGCTCGATTTTAGGTCGCAGTTATCACCGAAATCCAGCATCATTCATGCGTCATGGAATCGGTATGAATCATACTCAACAAACTACAAGGTAAGCTGTTCTTTTTAAATTTAATTATGCATTTTAAATTTTAAATTACGATTTAAATAGTTGTGATTTTTAATCAATCGAAATACATTGTTTCTGAGTGGCACGAAATTTCATAATGATTGATTACTTAATGATAAAGAATGGAAATGAGGAGATAGAAGCAAAATGAAAATAGAACTGAATAAAATTCAATATAATTTAAGTTATTCCTCTCATGCTCTCCCTTAAAGTTTTACTTAAAAAAGTGAAATGCTTTTTTACTAAAGAGAGAAAATTTTCGTTTGAACATTTGAATTTCCTCCTCCTCTCTTATTTTAACTTTTTTCAATTTTCTAAATGAAAAAAAAAATGTTCTGAAAGTAGTGCTATTTTATTGGAAAAATTGTCGAAAATGAAACAATTTGTTTGATTTAACGTAAAATTTTTGAAGAAAATCGAGACATATTATATACAATATACTTTAGCAACATTTTTAAATGAAGAGATTGAGAAAAAGCATTAAGAGTAATAATTTTATGAAACTTAGTAGTTTGAGATTGTGGTTTTCTGAATTGAAAAAAAATTCAGAGAATTTCAATAATTCGATTGATAAATAAAATCATTAGGAAGTGCTTGTATACTACACTTATATAGAAGTGAAATTTTAATCAAATAATGTAGAATTCATAATAATATTCATTAATCACTTCAGCTTAATGTCTCGCTAATTACCTCATTAAAAGTCTCGCAATCAAAAATAGAGCTGCAAAAAAAAGTACATTAATAAAGGAATAACTTCCAAAATATATAAATTTGATTAATTGAAAATGGTAGTAAGGTTTAAAAATGAAATTCCAAAATTTGTGAAATTGAAATTTAAAAATTTGTAAAATATTATTTCAGATTAATGGCTGATCAAGACAGTGGTATTGTAAAACATCAGGTACCGCATATAATAACTGATCCGCCGAGTAATGGAGAAAATACCCCGCCAGCTAAAGTACCGGAATTATTAAAGGGAGCGATGGAAATGTGATGTCACATATGTGTACATAAAATATGAATTTTCTCTTTTCCACATTTGTACTATTCCCACTTTTTTTACTTTCTTTCACAAATTTCTTCTCATTTCTGAAATTTGATTCGATTTTACGATCTCTATCACTTTCGCTTTTCACTACTATTTCTCTAAAAAATATTTTTTTGGAAAATGAAAGTTTATCTGAATTGGTGTGAGTTTAATATTTGTTTTTTATCTTCTTTTATCTTCCCTTCTTTGAGAGAAGTAAAATTGCCGATAAAAAGTTACTGAGATGTTTTACAAAAAATTTTTTCAACTTAAATAGACATCTCAAAATTTTCATTATTATCGCTGGTAATGACAAAATTTTGTTTACTCATAATACTAGTCATTTTCCTAAAAGAAAAACAGTAAAGTGTACTCTCTAGCAATAATATTTTAGGTAAATTTGAAATATTTATCGAAGGCTCAAATTTTTTAAGTTCAGCCTCTGAGCAGAAATCAATGAATATTTCCCAATAACAGTGCTTCGGATTGCTGAGAAATTCTTCCGACAATTTATTCATTTATTAAATGCTAATATTAACTTTTCAATTAATATTGTCAATCATTTGATGATAGAGCAATACAAGGGGAAATATTTTAATGATGGAGCAAATAAATTAATCTTCGTTATGTTGGGATCGAAATACTTATAATTGTTTTATATTTTCGGAATTTGCAAATAATTGTAGCTGCAAATGCACGTAAGATATAACTGTATAGATAATAACTTGACAAAATTGAATATTCAATTTCGCGTATGATTATTTAACACTAGTTTAAAAGTTTTAAAATTTTAAAAGATTTTCATACTTAAAAAGTTGCTATCATCTTTTCACACCTCTTTATATCTTTTTTTTTCTTATTCTATCTGTTAATGGAATGTAAGCATTTAGAAGTCATAACAAATTATTTTTCTCATTACTTATTCGGTTGATAACAGTAGGAAAAGTGTGACACATAATAGCGAATTAAGTCCCGGGAATTATCCCGTAGAAATAAACGAGTAATTTGTATTTATATTTTTATCATGAAAACTGATCAAAAACATATTAGTTATATTTCGCTCTCATTTAACGGGTAGATTTAAATTAACAATAATTTATGTAAATTTCCTTTTTCGGAAATGTTAATGTGTGATCGAAACAAGGAGACAGTTCTCTTCGCGATATTCAAATACTCATTCGATACAATTTTTGTGAAAATGTTTCAAATGCAATTAATATTTTTAATTTTAGGAGTTTTTGTTTTTTTTTTTCAATCTTATCTTTCGAATTGTAAAATATAAAAGGGTTGACTAATTATTTGTAATATTTACTGAATTTTTTTCTTTGAAAAATAAAATTTTCGAACAAACAGGGAACTAAATTTTTAAACAAACAGTCGGTGGGCTTCTATTTTCTCAACATATATATGCCAGTGCCTTAATCTATGTATGTCTTCATTAATTAATAATGATACTGTAATTCGCTATGCTTTTATGATTATTATCATGCCGCATAAATGTGAATATTATGTTTTGATGGCTATAAGGAAGGAATTGCATGGATGGAAAAATGGAATTCATTTATCATCTGAAATCATTAATTGATCAATTTCATGGATGCATTGTATTTGCATAGAAAAATAATCAAGACATTTCCAGTTATCTTCAAGAAAATAGAGCTTTATAATATATTTATCAGTTTTTCAGATAATTAGGTCGCAGTTAAAAGTAATTAATAAAACAAGTTAAGAATGAACAAATCGGAATATCTACATTAAATGTATTCATTTTGTACTAATGTTCAAAATTAATGCTCGACATCATTATATTTACCAAGAATTACGTAAAAAACTTTTGTGTCTTGGTTTTGAGATGAAATATATTGATATTTTCTAGCAAGAGAATAATATAATATGAATTTAAATGAAGATTAAAGTTTATTGTGATTCTTGCTACTTGATCAACAAAATTGACTATTTATTACTTAGATTTAACATGCTTCCAAATTCGAGGATTGGAATAGATTACTTTTCAAATAGCATTCAAACAAGCCAACCTATATACTGACTTAAATTAAAATGACAGTGCACCTGTTGAAAAATTATCTGTCAGCATGCTGATCATGTCAATCAATGAAAAGTTGATCAGAGAATTAATTAAAACGATCTATCGGCTCCCTTCATTCTGAATAATAATATTATAGTATTTTTTAAAAAAAGAGATATATTGCATATAATTAGCAGGAATTATGCTATAAATGAATAATACTCATAATTCTGGCAGCATTGATATGATAGTGTTAAATTACAGATAGATACAAAGGGTGATACCGTACATGAAATGGAATCGATTTAAAATGAGATTGATATGAATTGGAATTAATGTTATTCTATTTCTGTAAAATCTTTTAACATATTTATTAGCAGAAGCTCACTGAATTTATTTTTGGAATTACTTTTACCATTATTTGCAAAGTTGACTTTTTTAATTCGATTATGTTTCAATGAAAGTGTAATTTGCATATATAATGGAAATATATATAATTTACTTTCGTCGGCTTTTCTTCCAATCTAACAGAAATTCACGATAAATATTTTATTTCCAGAACAAACAATGCAAATATTCGAATTCATTGGATTTTTTATTCCCGAAAACTAGAAATAATGCATACTAAAAATAAATAAACCTTTATCCCTTAATATTCAGTAGTAATTAACTTCTTTTTCCTTTCAATCCTTAATAGCAACCTTTACTCTTTAACCTTTAGTGGTAAATAACTTCATCTTCACTCTTTGTTATTCCTAAGAAGACAATATTTACATAATATAACAAAGAGCAGAAAAACAATGACATTTTTTATAAACTATAAGGAAAAACAAAAGAAAAATTGCATGAAAATAAGCACATGAGAATTAAATAAAATAAAAACAGCATATTAAATTCTATTAATCATTTCCTTTTCCATTTATCATTTTAATTTTTTTCGCTCTCTTCCCTCACCTCATGATAATTAAAAAATTCCATAATTTTTCACTCATTTATTACCTCGTTTTTTTCTGAAAAAATAATTCGATAATTGATTTTGAAGTAAAAATTTTGATTGTTTCCACAATTTGATCATTTAAGAGAGGAAATTGAGGTAAACCTATTTTAACATCTCGTTCATTCAATCAGACCTAATTGTTAATGATGAATTTGTTGCCTTTTTTTTCCCATCTAACCTTTCTCATCATTATCCTATCATCTCGTCTTATAACAAAAAAAAATTACCACTCTTTTTTTAAAAAAGCTTTGTTGACATTATTGTTATTTTATTTGTTGGCATTTTTGTCAGAGATGAATATTTTATGAACAGTCCATAATTATTCCACTAATTATTTCAGTAAATACCATTTCTTGTCATTTTATGTTTGTTTAAGTATTATTCTCATCCATTTTTGCTCTCTCTTTTCCTTCACGCAAGCAACCAATTGAAAGAAACAAAATCCTTCTATTTAAATATTAATCCATTAACATTATTTTTATCAAAATTTCAGCAATAAATATATCAAATTCTATTCCTATTGTTAAATCCAATTCCTTCCTTTGCCAAGTTTTATATAATTCTGATTTAAAAATAAAATCAAATGTGATAGACATTTACTTGCTACTATAGGGTAAGAAATAAAAATTATATTTTATTTCAATTACTTAGCTCTTGCAATATTTCCAAAACAAATGCAAAACATCATGAGAGTTCAAAATTGTATTGACTTTATATTGTCATTAATGGAAAAATAACGCTAAATTCGTTTCGGCAATAGGAATTAAAAATAACTGAAATGAATATTCGATTTTTTTTTTATAAGAGAAGTAAAAACATTTGTGAATATTTGCAAAATGACTGGCAAAAAGATTATTTGATATTGGAAAGGATACAAACGAGATGGTTATTGTTTGCTTAATTGACAGTATTTGTTCCCTCATTGCATAGGCGAACTTTTTCTTCCCTCACTCTTTTATCGCCTCATTTCCATTCTTCAATTTGCTAAAAATTTCGATGCGAAACTTTTTTCTCTTTTAGGATAAATAAATTTGAATATTAATGAAAATTTTGTTATTATGATTGAATGATTCAGATATTTGAGGGATTAAGTTCAGTTAGATATTTTACATATAGAGATATTCCCGTTAGAATCTGTTCCCTTTTATCTCTCTTATATTTCCAACTTCATTATCATTATTATGCATGTCGGTTATTATCCTACAAGGCTATACGTGTCTCATCATCTCTGTGAGTATTTCAAATGAAAAAGTCATGTATATTACCTGTTCCATTACCTCCACTAGAAATTTTCTTCCATTAAATTGCGTATTGGTTAGTGCATAGGGATCAGTGTCTGTCTGTGTCTGTCTATGTGTGTGTGTATGTGTGTATGTGTGTGTGTGTGTGTGAGTGTGTGTGTGCATAAAAACTCCCTCTCTACAAAAATTGATGTAATTTGAATGATAGAAATACTTGTAAAACTTCACTCGAGTCACTATAATTTCGCTCTTTTTTTCCTCCTTTCAATCGTACAGTTATCTGTCACTCCCGAGAGAGAAGTCTTCCTCCTCTCACTGATCCCGAAAATATTCTATTAATTCAATATAATCTTGCATAAATTTGTACAAAAATCATATTTCCTTCTTGTTTGCATCAATTTAACTGAAATCAATTTCTCAATTATAATATCTTTCACTCGTCTTAATTTTTTAATTTAAAAAATTAAACTCTTTTTTCAATTGACATTACTTCTAATAATATTATTATTATCACTATAATTTTTTCGCTAGTTTACTTAATTGTTATTTACAAATCTAAATCATCAATGATATATATTTCTTACCATAAATTTTAGTGGAAAAAATCATTTTTTTAAAACTATCAATAATATATGTGCATGTGTGTATGCATATATTTAATAAATCAAATAAAACAATAACAGTTATTAAAAGGCAAAAAAAAATTTTTTTAAATTTCCAGGAAAAAAAGAAAAGAGGGAAAGAAGGAAAATAATCACAATTAGGTCATTTTTTGTTTTCCATGAATTTTTGTCTTGTTTTAAACTTTTTCCCTTTTGTGTCATTTGACCAATATCCACTTATTTCGTTGCGTCGTTGACGTACGAAATAGTGCAATATAATTAAATAAAATGTCAAGTAAATGATCGAAAATTGATTCCACTGTTTACAATTCATTAGATTGATATTTAGGTATTTCAATTTCCACTAACAAAAATTCATTTTAGGTTAGCATCGTTATTATAAGCTATACAGAGTAGCCTCGCTCATGTCATTTATATCAATATATCGTTTTTTCAGATCTATTCAAATGTTCGCAAGAAAATACAATGAAAGTATTAATATAAATAATTTTTTCTATCATTTTATTTAATTTTCAATTCACAGTTCTAATTTCAGCTTTAACTTTTTTTGATTATTATATTTATGAAATTTTTATAGATTAATCATAGCATTCGATGATGCTACAGTGAAGCTCGAATTTTATAAACGATTGCACGATCACTGATAAAATGATGAATAAATTATTTTTATTCTCACTGCTATTCCTTTGAAGTGACAGAAAAAGAGAAACGATGTTTTGGAATATTTCGATCATTCTTTTCATGTTATTCTCGAAATCCGAATCAATCAACAGTTCTTTATCACTATTGTCACCATCCTTATCACTATCCTCCCCAACCTTCACCCTTCTTCCATCCAAACGAACTTACACTGAACAGCCATTATATCATTTCACCTTTACAACTTCGATTAATTTAACTAACATTGCTTTAGAAAATTTGAAGCAATTTGAAAGTGATCAAAATAATTTAACTATTAGTAACTATACCACCAGACTGCAACAGGTATTAATACTTTTTTATTTCATTTTTTCCCTTTCGGTAAATAAATGATTTACAAATGTTGAGTATTTAAGCTGTCAACGTTTGATTTTATTCCAATTTTATTTATTTCTTTTAAAATTCAAAATTTATTGAAATTTTATTCTTTTTTAATTCTTTATCATAAAATTATTTTTGATTTTCGTTTTATTCATTAATTTTGATTAGAAATTTATTTCCCTAATTATTGTTATTTTCCGATCAATCAACTTAATTTTCCCATTTTTCAATTTTTTCTTTGTTTTCACAATAATAGGCATGATAACGAAGATATTCACTTAAACCTTAATAGTTAATTGCAAAAATGTAGTAATTGAAAGGGTTAGAGGAAAATTTGACGAAATTAATAAGTGCCATTTTTTGAAATAGCTCTGTTATGCGTTTTTTTTTCTGAATGGGCTCGTTAGCTCATCAAAACTTAAATGATTTCATTGCTTGCTTTTCTGAAATTCTTGCTTAACGATCAATTTTCCATGGGGTTTTCGTAGTTGTTGCTTCACATTGTGACAATTAATAAGGTATAATTTAAGGGATTTAAAAGGCAAATAAATCATAAGTCAATGGTAAAAAATTGAATGAAAAATTCAAAGATTATTCAGTCTGTTCATGTGAGGTTCAGTTGCAACTTTTAAAACTATTCGACCGTTATTATTTAAGGCCGTAATTTAATTCAGTTGAAAATAATTCATTTCTTTAGTATCGAAGCGCAAAATTTGTCAAATGGTTATGTTAAATGTGTAAACAAGTCTATACAATAAGGTGCAAATGATATCAAATACAATAATATATCATAACAATTATCAGATTATAATGATTTCTTCTCAAATTATTTCAAATTCTTTTCATCAATTTTATGTTAGTTTGTTTACTCCGATTTGTTTCAGAATGCAGACAGAAGAAACCAAAATTTACAATCATTGACAACATATCATAAACAATTCCCCTATTATTATAGCAAGAAACAGATCGAAAATTCAGATAGTAAGGAGCAAATGATATCAAATACTGATAATCAGTTATGGCCTTCTCATAAATCCATTCCAGAAGATGTAAAAGAAGAAGGAGAATGGTATTACGGTAACACATTCCCACACTTTTATAGTCATATATTTCGGTTTTATTTAAGTATATAAATTTTAAGTACAAAAATTACTAACAATTTCCTTACATTTAAACTTTTAACTTTTCAGCTATCATTTATTGTATAAATTAATATTAATAATTTCATTGAATATGAACATATTTATATTTTACCTCGAAGTCTTTCTTTTTTACAATAGATATTATACAGTGCTATTACAGTAAGGAACATTATTCAGAATCCCTAATAGTTGTTAACTGTGAATCGAACCTCCATCGTTTTATAAAATTGGCAGATACTTTTTTAACAAGCTATTAGAATAAGCTTTGCTTCTGTTAACATATTTGAATTGATTAAATTAAAGTGACATAGGTCACTTAAATAAATTGACTGAATTGTCATTGATACTATAATAAACATATTTGTTAATTTTATTAACTCAAATTAATAAATTAGACTAAACTGCACATTTAGGTTTGTCTGATGAATATTTCTATTTATTTGATCCTTAATTATTTAAATTTTCAATAATCATTATGCATGATGCAATTCATTTTATAATACAATAATACTTCATATTGAATTTACAAGTTTAATTTCGATTTTAACCTTCATTGCAGATCGTAATGATATAGGTTATTATCCGGAAGAACGATTTCAAATCGAGTCAACATTGCAATCACCTCATGTGAAACTTCATGAATTACCTGATGACCTGAATGATAGCACCTTGCACATCTCTCAGCTCACCAATGATTCAGGTTCGATTATAACATATCTAAACATTTTACGATGAAATGTTCTATTTTTAATAGTTCTTGATCTGTTTCATTATCTCATATCAAACACATTGCAATCCATTATCCCAAATACAGTTCAATTTTCCAAGCATTCTTACCACACTGTTCCATCACTTTCGTTGGATGATTACTTCTCTGTTAAATCGTATTGTCTACTGAGTCTCATCTCCATTCTATCACGTGTAATGTCATTCTATACATTATCTCTTAGAGTTTCAAAAAATTCTTCACGTTCACGTTGGTTGACGTTGAACTCCTAACAGCCTATATGTTAATTTTTGAACGTGTACCACGTCAAATTCTGTTCAGTCGTGTAATTTTTGATGATGTTTCCAGTTGATTTCTTGATATAACGCGTTTCATTTAAAAAATCATTTCCATAGTACAAATTTTACATATAAAAGTGAACTGGTTTGCTAACAAATTCTGTTAACTATAAAGAATCCAGCACAAAATAATACGAAAATCGATTAATTGCAGTAAAACTGGGATTTGGTATTGGTTTATCATTATTGTTTCTCATATTGATCATTGTTGTTATTATACATCGAGAACGGTCACGACAAAATTTGCAATCGGAAAATGATAGAAATCGCAATTCATATGATTGGAATTTTTGCCTTCGTTGTAGCTTGAATGGAAAAAAGACGATAAAGAAAATGACGGGTATCAGTATCGGAAAATCACAGAATTATTATAAAGATAATGATCGATGTCATCAGCATATTGATAACATGTAAGTTTAATAATTCTTATATTGTAATAATGATTTACGCATTAAAGCTTAATTATTTCTATAGCTATACAGACTTAATTTCACATATACGGTAGACTTAATTTCATTAGATTTAGTTTATAGCTCTTTGTTTGTTTGATTAAAACTACTTTTTTTTTAATAACATTTTTTTCCGTTATCTTGTATAGTGCTTTTTTTGTTAGCTTAATGTTTGTGGAACAGCTATTTCCTTTTTTCGGCTTTTACAATTGCTTGCCGATATTGTGGTACAGATTGTGGCGAAATATTAAAATGAAAATTTCCGGGAGATCGTAGACTTGCTCCTAAATTTTGGGATTTCCCAGAAAAGTCCGGTGTTTTTTCACGTTCCTTCGTTTTTTTGGATGATAAACAAAATTCAAATATGCCAAGCAAGTTATTATAGTTTAGAATGAATGATAAGAAAACGTAAGTTAGAGATGAATCGCTAAGGAGGAGAAGAAAAGTGAAGTGACACCCCTGAAGCCTATCTCGGGATTTTCTATGAACAAGATTCTCCCTTCCAAGGAAGAAAATTTCCCTGCGAAGAACAAAGAAACAATTTTACTTTTTATTATCTTCTTCAGTAATTTCTTTCCATTTTTTAAGCGAAAATTTGTGGTTGTTAGAAAAATCTCGACTTGTTGTATTCCACGAAGTGAAACTTGGTTCCGGAGCATTTTGCAACGTCTACAAAGGTTGAAACTTTTGTATATTGTAATGTTTTCGTATCCATACATCCAATTAAGAAATGACAACAATTTAAAGCAAAACAGCTATTAGCATTAATTTCAAATTGATTAACAAGGAATAAGTTAAAATATTGCTATTTATTAATGATTATGCTTGCAATTTCTGTCAATAACACACTGATAATAAAATTTATAATAGTAAAATTTTATGTGATTTTTCCCTTCTTTTTTATTTAAATTTTGATTGATTTTTTTTGTTTTTTAGGTGCTATTAATGGATTAGCACCAATTTGTAAAGTAAATCCATCATTGTCAACTTATGGAACATTCAAAGATTGCATGTGTGCAGTAAAAATGCTTCCATCCATTGCAGATGATATCGCGCATGCTGACTTCATGCAGGTTTCATCGTTTTGACTATTTCAACCACAAGTGTGAGTATACTTAAGATAGTAATTTATAGCAGAGGAAATTTCTTCACAAGTAATGAAATTTGAATATAATTTCATATATTAAGAAAAGCAAGAGGTTAGTAGCATTCATTAAATTACTAAATTCAACAACAGGTCATTTAGAACTTAGTTTAATTATTTCAAACATTGCTTGTGAAAACGAATACAAATGTTTCCACATCTTTCATTCTTCCTCATCTTATCTTTAACAAGACAACAAATAAGATTTCATATCGCTATAGTATTTGATAAAGTATCAACACGAACAAAAAATGTTTAAGACTAACCTTTGACCTATTCACCGTTTTTAAAACATTATATGTGTTTGATTTTTGAAGTTTTCTATAATCTTTCATCAATTTTCTGACAGATATAATTGAAGAATATTTTCATTTCTAATTGTTTTCATATCATAATTTAAATTCTAATTTGATAGAGATATTGTGAATAAGAAAGGAAAAAGAGAGGAGAGAGAACTTTAAAATATTATTTTGGAAAGAATTGATTGCAGGAAATAAAATTCATGAAATCACTGAAATATCATCCTCATTTGGTGAGTATGCTTGGGATAAGTATCGATGAAGACGGTAACATTATGCTTCTCATTGAATACTGTGATTTGGGTGATCTTCTACATTTGGTACGAAACAAAAAAGACGAAATCATTATGGTTTATTTCAATTTTAATTTATGATTGAAAATCTTATTTCTAAACAAATATTAATTTGGAAACTTTTTAAAAAACTTACAAAAATTTGCAATTTCTTATATTTTTGTTAACAAAATAAAAATTTTGCTACGAATTAATTGATGAAAAAATGAAGAAAAAGATCTTTTTATCAGAATCGTAAGAATGAACATTCAAAATTACGAATCAAGGATTTAATATCATTTTCATGGCAAATCAGTAATGGATTAGTAAGTTTACATTATGTATGTAATCAATTTTTTCACTAAAATTTCAATCAGATATATAAGTTGGTTGAAAAAAAAAATTTAGTCGAAATTTATGTGAGGCAATGATTTATTTTCCGCTTTCCCTTTGCGTTAAATCGACTTCTTTTTTTCATTTAACTTTTCCTCCTTAATTAGTTTCCTTCTTTTTACATATTTTGTTAATTTTTACTTCTCGAAAGATAAAAGCATAACTGACTAACTGATATTCCTCTCATGAATCGTCCATTTCCTCCTTTTCTATTTGCATTGTCCTTCATGAAAAATTACTGGTGCAGTATTGTTATTTGCCTATCATTCATATGCTTATAAGCAGTACTTCCTTAAGTAATATGATATGCAATTTTATCTAGCTTATTGATTAAAATTAAACGGTAATATCATAGCTTCACGTTGTAGGAATATTTGAGCAGTATAGGATATGTACATCGTGACGTAGCCGCTCGCAATATACTTGTCAAGGCTACAAATATTTGCAAGGTTAGTTCATTCTTCACGTGATTTAACTAATATTATCGAGACATGTACATGTAATTGCCATTTTGATAAGATTAGAAATATCATTGCTATTGGCACTTAGCTGATAGAATAAGTGTGAAATGAAAATGTACGAAGCACTGATATCCTAAAATATTTGTGTTTGGTGCTGGTAGTTTAATTCATTTTCAATTTTCCTTTTCATTATTTTTCTTTCGATGATTCATTTAATTCCAACACATTAAATTCTAAAATAAGTAAAACCATCCGCAATTGGCATTTTTCCATTAGCTTCATTCAATTGGAATATTTGTTATAGAAACTTGGTAAATCCTCATAATCCTCTGTGAATTTTTATTCATTTATTTTTTAATTTTCTTCATTTGCACCATTTAAATAACAATTATCATTTCACATGCTACTCGCATCATTTGCTAAATTTTCTAAATAAAGTTTATTAATATCTATATCGTTGTCATAAAATATTGCAAGTTTGCAAAATATATACATTGTATTTCTAACAGGGAAGTGAAATGAAAGGAGAGTAAAAGAGCATTTCATCAGTCATTTCGGTACATTGTTTCGAAATTTCAAATTAAAGTATTAAAATAAACATTTTTCATCCCTTCTATTGCCTCCTTTTTTATTGTTTCTTCAATTTTAGATTGTCATGTTTTTATAATTTCAATTTTAATCACTTTCATTAGTTCATTTCTCGAATCATTGATCTATTAAATTTTACTGATTTTAGTTTGCAATTTTCACACATTTGATGATTAGTTTTACGGTAATCGATAACCATAACTGTCAAAACAAATCAAGAAATTAAATTGAACATATGAAACGAAAAAATTATCGGGTAGTTTTTTCATCGAATTCTAAATTTTTAAAAGGGCTTTTTTTTTTCACAGATAGCTGATTTTGGATTGTGTCGGTTATCCGATTCGTTTATTTATACAGGTCGCGGTGGAAGGTTACCGTTAAAATGGATGGCACCGGAATCGTTACGATCGTATGAATATTCGATTAAAACCGATGTGTATGCAATAAAGTTTTCTCAATTTATTTAAATAATTATCACTTCACGTGCTAGTTGCATCATTTGTTAAATTTTCTGAATGAAGTTTATTATTTGAAAAATTTTAAACAAAATGACAAAACTCACTTTGTTTAAAATTTTTTTGATATTACAATGCAAAATTCAAGAGGCAAGTTACAATAACCTATTATTTCCAAAGATTATTTTAGGAATAAAGATAAAGAATTTTTCGAATTCTTATCACGTATAATTTCGTTTAAATCATTTCTTCCAGTCAGCAATTTTGATGACTACTTTAATCTCAAAGTCTGTTGCTTATTTGCATAGACTTAACTTATCTCTCCTAATTTTAGATGGTCTTATGGTGTATTACTTTACGAAGTATTTTCGTTTGGTGAAGTACCTTATGCGCTTCTACAAACAACCGAAATTCTTGATTTTTTAAACTCAGGCGCTCGTCTTCATCAACCCCAATATTGTCCAATTAATGTGTTCGTTTTCTTACCTTTCCTTTTATTCTATTTCATTTTTTTTACTGCAAAATATTTCTTCTGAAATATGTTTTCGTATTATAAATTATAAATTTTATTGAAAGCTGGAGCTTTCTGAAATTTTATTTATTATCAATAAGGCAATAAATGCATCCACAACAAAAATGACATTACAATCAAACTGTAAAGAAAATATGAAATATCATTTAGTCTATAAAAAAACATTATTAATTCAATTTTTAAAACTTCATATAATTTCATAACCAAAACTTTATCACTCTTCATCATCTCATTCAGTGTTATGATGAAAAATTCAACTATTTTGCATTTTTAATCCGTAGCTTTGCACTATTCTCTTAACATTAGCAATCACGATTGTCTCGTCAAATACTTCAGTCTTACCTTCTGCTCGATCAATGAATATTTCTGATGACAGGGGAATAATGTTGCTATTTCTAGGAAATTTTTAATTTTTGTCTGAAAGGAATGTAAAAACATTTTTACATTTACGCTAATTAGAAAAAGAAAAACGCTCATCTCTGAAATGCGTTTGTCGTACATTACATTTCATTTCAATAAATTATCAAAAAGGATGGAAAAAATTTTCAGGTATACGCTGATGCTTCAATGTTGGCAGAGTGAACCGTCTTTACGGCCTAATTTCACAGAAATTTGCTCCATTTTGCGAATGATTCTTGAAGACAACTTCGAACATTATGGATATGTCGAAGAGGTCAATGCGAATGGAAATCCCATTTATTGATTGAGGGATGAAAATGTTGAAGTAAGCAAAAACAAGAAAGATACCGATTATGTTATGATTTTTCAATAATTAGATAAAATTTGTTACTAAATAAGAAATATTTTTTTGTTTTTCAACAATAAAAATTTTTATCGTTCTCATTTCTTTTTTCATTCTTCTTTAATCATTTCTTATCTTGAAAGAGAGTTTACAAAATAATCAAAAATTTAAAAAATAACTTTTTTCACAATCTCAAACAGAAGCTGTTAAAATTTTTGATTTTCTGTTTTCAAATCACGACGAAATTACATTCAAAATACCAACTAATAGCTAAATATTGAATAGCGAAATTTTTGAACAGGTAATAGTAATGCCTGAAATTCACACCAAAATCGTTTTGGTGATATTTCATTAAAATTTCCTATTTCACTTGAAAAGATGAAATAGGAAATTTTAATAAAATATA